AGCCCAGGATCTGATGAAGGCGTCTTAGAAGCAGCAGGGCCGGGGACGTCATCAGAGACAGCTGTGCAGAAATGTGGCTCCTGACATTAAAGACTACGCTGGACACTAGGACCATGGACAAGTCAATAAAAATAAATAATCAATTATTTATTTAATTTCATTTTTGGGGGGTACTCATTCATTTTATACACTAAACAGTTTATGTGTGAAGATCTACATTGTTATTTTTCTTTTACACAAAAGCAAACATCAAACAAACAAGAAATATTATTCCAGCACTGTCCATGTTGTATGTTGTACCCAGTGGTCAAATTTTTATTACTTGAAACATTTTGACTTGCCACACCATGAAGTTAGCATAGCTAATAGAAAATATCATTATAATAACATTACCCAAAATCTGTTTAAAAAAAAGTCTGCATATGTTATCAAGTGTGAGTGGTAGGTCAACATGTTCTCTGTAAGTAAAATCTGAAGTTTATCTGCTGCAGTGTTTGAAGGCCGGCTCACCAACCTCTTTCCAGGGGCTGAGCTGGCCTGATGTTTCTGCAGTTACATCAATAAATTATAAAAATGCTCTTGTGGTCATATTTTCTTATATAAGGAATAAGAATGTACCAGTAAACATGCATTGACAATAATTGTGAAAAATGAAAATATCTATGTAAAAAATGAAATCTTCAATTATTTTATTTTAGTAATAAATGAGTGAGTGGCCGTTCTTTCACTGAATTAGTTAAGTTAAGTGAGTTTTTAAAAAAAAAATTTCTACAGCTTTCAGAAACAATTTTGCTGTTTGATTTCTACATTTTTGAAAATATATTTATTTTTTATTTCAATTATGGCTGAAGGCTGTGGCTGAAGCAAAAACGCAGGTGGGGGAGGAGCTTGGAGAGGTTTTTGGACCGTCTCCGAATTTCTGGCAAAATTGTCAGGCAACTCAGGAGGGGGAGCGGTGCTCTACTTGCACTGTGTATAGTGCAGGTAGAGCACTGCTGACTTCGACTGAGGATCTTTTCAGGTTGTGGAAGAGATATTTAAAGGATCACCTTAATCCCAGTGGCGCATCTTTCGTGGAGGAAGTAGAGTCTGGGGACGAGAGGGATGACTTGTCCATCAAGTCCATTGGTATGGGCCATTTGTTCCTTTTACAACTGTTGCAAGTGCTTGGGCCACACAGCCGGTAATAAGTGGGACTCTGCCAGGGCTGCCCTTTGTCACCGATTCTGTTCATAATTTTTATAGACAGAATTTCTAGGCATAGCCAAGTGGTGGAAGACTTCCACTTGGGTGGTCTTACAATCTCATCTCTTCTTTTCACAGATGATGTGGTTCTGTTGAATTCATCAGGTGATGGCCTCCAGTTTGCACTGGAGTGGTTCGCAGCAAAGTGTGAAGCGGCAGGAATGAGAATCAGCCCCTCCAATTTTCGGTTGATCTACATCCCTACCCTCACCTAGCACTAGATTGCAGATACAAGCAGCGTAAATGAGCTTTCTCCAAATGTTGGTTGGCCTCTCCCTTAGAGATAGGGTGAGGAGTTCGGCCATTCAGGAGGGACTCAGAGTAGAGCCACTACTCCTACACATCGAAAGGAGCCACTTGAGGTGGTTCTGACAGGGATGCCACCTGGGTGCCTCATGCCTGAGGTGTTCTGGGTATGTCCTACTGGGAGGAGGCTCTGGGGCAGACCCAGGACACGCCGGAGAAATTATATCTCTCGGCTGGCATGGGAATGGCTTGGTGTTCCCCTGGATAAGTGGAATAAAGTGAATGGATGGATGGAATAATGGTGAAGTGAAAATCCGAGTTTAATCCTTAAAATTACTTTTTTTTTTTCGTGCTGGGCCTTTTGACTTTTCCAAGCTGGAAAAGCACAGGATAGAAATGGCAGCATTATTGGCTCCATTCAGGGAACACTATAATGTCCCATGACAGCCATGTTGATGAGAAAGCATGGATTACTGATTGTTGAATGAGTTGTGAATAATTACATCATTGATTTTTCTGCTGTATGTACAGATTTATACTGAGAGATTTTGTAAAAAATCTTTTTGTGGAAAAAAACTTGATAGATAGGTAGATAATTAAGTTTAAGCACCATATGTGCTGAAACTGTCGTAAAACTTACAGCTGTATTATTGCTGGTCTAACATTGGTATGCTTATTGCCCCTGGTAATTGGTATGCAGTGCAACAAAAAACAAAAAGACTGTAAAAGTGGATGGTATATTTTTTATATATATGAATTTTGGGTCCTGTGGGTGCTGGAGTAGCAGACCAATTAAACTATAAGTTAGTTATTGTTCTGCTGGGATACTTGCTGGGATGCATCTTGAAATTCATCTTCATGTGATAGTGAAACATGTTTCCATGTTTCCACTTGGAAGAAGTGGAAACATGGCAACAGCCATCAGTTTTCCCAGACACAAATCCAATAAAATCAACTACAAGATTTGCTGAAATGAGACGAATCTACCGGCAACATCACAGTATGAGAATTCATAATGAGGGAGAGTTTTTGCAGGGGATCTACACAACTGTTGGCAGTTTTGGTTGTTTTAATTGCTTTATTGACACGTACCAGCCACCTTGGTAGGTATTCTGTGCTAGTACCAAGTTGGACCTCCTTTTTCCTTCAGAGCACAGATGCAACATTTTCTTGGTCCATTTGATGTGATAGCATAAGATAGTTGTTGCACATTTGCTGGCTGAATATTCATGATGGGAATTTTCCTGCTTCACCACATCCCAAAGGTCCTCTATTGGATTATGATCTCGTGACTCTGAGGCCATTTGAGTACAGTGAACTCACTGTCAAGCCAGATTTGAACTTTGTGACTCTGGTGTTTTATCAGAAGATTCATTGTGCACACCAGAGTCATGGTCAGAACACGGTCAGCAACAATAAACAATATTCAGTTAGCACCAAGGAGGGATTTGTAAAACCAGGCAATGTTTTCCAGTCACCCTTTGTCGAACTTTGTGGACCTCATGGAAACTGTTGCCTCTGTTGCCTTTTTTTAGCTGATAGGAACTGCACCCAATGTGCTCTTTTGCTGATGTAGAAGACCACACCTACTGTACACCTAAGTCTTTGCATTGGGAAAGAATGTTTTTTTTTAATTATTTCTGATGTTTCCCAGTGCTTTACTGCAACAGTCTTCAGTTGTTTTTTGTTCATTAGTTGTCTTTACCATGGGAAATGCACCTCAACTGAGTTGACTGTCTGACTCTAAAACACCATAATATTGTACTTAAAAATGTTTCCAGTTTTTCTTTGTTCCAGATGCTGTTGACTTAGCCACAGCCAATGTCCTAATATTCCTAAAGTTAAATGTGATGGATCTGTTTTGGCTTTCATCTTAGTGACTGACTGTTTAACTTGGACTTAATGTGTGAATCCTGTGTCCACACATTGTGGATTCACATAAACAACTAGCAGATGTAAATACTACACTTGGAATCAACTCTAGACCTTTTAGAAGACAGTAAAACTTTATTGTCATTGCACAGAAGTACCTGCTTATTTTATGAAGAAATAATGAAGGGATCATACATCTGTTATAACGCTTGAGTGAATTGTAGAATAATATTTGAGCCTCTGACAATAGGAGCTACTCATAAAAAGATAAATGTAAATGTAATTCCTCAACTGTGAATGGAATATTTTTGTTCAGCCCCCTCGAATTAAAGCTGACTGTGTACATTTAAACTGTTTCTTGTTTTTTTTTTTAAATTTTATTTCAAAACTAGACTTCTCCTTTAAATATTAGACAAAAGCTGCTAAGTTTTTCTTTAATTGATGAGCATGATCTAGCTTTTATTGCGTTATTGCAACTGTGGTATGCTACATCTCAGAAGTAGTGGTGAGTTGTAGGGTATGGCTAAAAAAGAGAGAAAGACTAAGCCCACCATGGTATTATAGGAAAAGCCATAAAGCCTTTATAATAAACTTAAACCTACACCACCCTCCCCATTCTGGTATTCTAAACGGTCTTTAGCAAAAATATAAAACAACCTAATTTATAATTAACTAACAGGGTTGCCAACTCCCAGCAAAAAAGAAAAAAAAAAAGGGAACCACTCCCCCACCCTCTGTTTCAAGATGCTTAATTGACAAAACTGATTTTAATTTAATGCACGTATCAAACAAATGCACAGAAATCTATTATTTTTCTCCTGTAATCAAATAGATTCTAAATCTTTCTTCAACAGAATTGCACAGATGGTACCTTCCCAAAGGAAAGAATACTATAACTTACTAGGGTATATACTAGATATTACTATTTAATATAGTATACTTAATATTTACTGAATACAATAATGTATTTCTACACATTTTACATCAGATGAAAACTTTGGTTGTAAGATTCAGATAAATATTTATTAAAAGCTAGACATTTTAAATGAGAATAAGAAAGAAAAGTATGGATCCTGGTGTTATTTGTCTCTCAGAAACAGTTCATTTCTTCCCTTCAACTTCCCTTCAACTCATTCATGTCACCTAAAAGGTAAACCTGTTTCTCCATCACCTGTTCAGCTCTGATGATTCAGTAAGGACATCTCCTGGTTTCATCTTCACGTTTCCCTCTCATCACCACATATCCAAACCGATATCATGGCCAGCAGCTTTACAGCTGTGGCTCCAACAAACATCAGCTGATACTAGAAATTAACATTAAATAAATTCTACCGACAGCTGATCAAGCTTAAACGTGCTGCTGTTGTTTAGCGCTACATCTGCTGGTTCCCTCTTTCTGGCGCAGAGAGAAAAGCGGATCAGCTGATCATTGATCAGTTTCATGATTGAAATTAGTAACTTTCTAGCTGAAGTAGTTATGAAATCCCGTTCCTTTTCACCTCAACTTTAAGGTTCGACCTCCTCTGCTGTAACTGGTCAAGCCCAGATTCGATCATGACCAACTGGCCAATCCACCACCATTCATTTATATCGTTAAAAAAAAAAAAAGAAATAAACCCCCATCGGCCCATAAAAACGAAAAATCACGAGCGACCCACCGGGCAAATGCCCTGGTCTCAGCCCGCTCAGAACACCGGCGCTACAACACCGCCTGGGAACAAACTGCTCTTCAGCTCTTGTTTTGCTCTGGATGCACTTCCGGGTTTCACCGGATGTTCCTAAGGAATATTGCAGCGCCCGTTGGGTACACTATCGGACTGTGGAAAATGTGTGCCTTCTGTGACTGTAAGGTGCAGGTGTACACGTCCGTGGGAAAGTAGGTTTCCAGTTTCCTGATACTGTGCGTTGCACTTGCGAGCGGCTGTGGCCTGGGGTAAGCTTTAGCTTTCCTGCGTGTTTCTAGCATCATGGGTAAGCCATAGCTTTAACGCTGCTAGCTGTAGCCGAGAGCTAATCAGATTTCATCTTTCTGGTGTGTTCAGGCAGAGAAAATAAACATAAATAAACACGAGGTCTGCACGGTGACCTCCGAGGTTACAATGTGCCGTGTTACAACCATAATAAAGGTTGGCTGTTTGGATTGGGAGCAGCATGTGCGCTAAACATCAGCTTCAATTACAAAAGAAAGCTGGAGTGTTGCTTGCTGAACTGGGGTCGCTTATGGTTAGCTGCAAGTCGGTACTGTTACAGTCACAACACAGAGTTTTATATATATTTCTGAGTTTGCATTTCATCATTTTGGCTTATGAGAGTCCACAAAGAAACTGATTTATAATTCATTTAACTTCATAAGATCTATCGATGGTGGTTGATGCAAAATAGGAAATGCATGTGAGTTTAAACATATAGGAAGTACATTTTCTTTTGATCATGTTTGGCAGCAATTCGTGTGGTCTGCCAAGTGCCTTTTCCCCCTTTTACAGCAACATGTGATGTAGTTTCCTTTTGGAGAGGGTTTATTTACTGAATAATACTTTTTCCAGGGTTTGAAGTCAGTTAACTGACTTCAAACCCTGGAAATACCCTGGAAATACTCATACTTTTGTGATACGCTGGCCAGGATAACAACGTGGGCAATGTATCTGCAATATTCTGCAGTCTGACACACTCTGAGAGACATTTACGTCAGATGCATAATGATATATGCCCATTGACCATTTTATTAGGTACACCCGTTCAACTCAAAACAAATACAGCCAATTACATGGCATCAATTTGAGGCATGTAGATATGGCCAAGAGGACCTGTTCAAACTCTGAGCATCAGAATAAGGAACAAAGGTGCAGCAGAAGACTACAGCGGAGTGGCAGTTAAGAACAGGAAACTGAGGCCACATTGTGCACAGGCTCACCAGAATCGTCCAATCTCTATTGTCCGATTCTGGTCTGGTTTCTGCTGCAACATTTTGTTAGTAGTATTATAATTTAAGGTAAACAACATGAAAGCATGTGGTGGAAGTGTAATAGTGTGGGGATATTTTCTTGCACACTTAAGGTCCTTTAGTACCAACTGAGCACCGTTTAAACATCACAGCCTACCTGAGAATTGCTCGCCACGTCCATCCCTTTATGACCAGAGTGTAAACATCATCTCAGGTTTGGTTCTAGCAGGAAAGCGCACTATGTCACACAGCAGGTCAAATCTTCTCCAGCTGGTTTCTTGAACTTGACAATGAGTTTATCAGATCTCAGTCGATAGACCACCTGTGGGTTGTGGATGCGAAGTTATTAAATTTGCAGCAACTGTGTGAGGCTTTTATGTCAATGTGGACCAAAATCTCTGAGGAATATTTCCAGCAACTTGTTGAATCTATGCCATGGAGAATTAATACAGTTCTGACGTGGGGGTCCAACCTGATAGTAACAAAGTGTATCTAATAAAGTGTCCGGGGAATGAATGTATTACTCAATTTATTTATTTATTTTAAAGAAAGCTTATTGTGGTAATGTTCTGGGGTTATTATTCAGTTTTAATAATGTTTGAGTGTTTAGCTGAATGTGTGGTTTGCCATGTTCCCCCTCATTTTTCTTTTCTTTTTTCTTTTTTTTAAACACAAGCTGATTAACTGCTGTTTATTTAACCATGTGTGCGTGACCACAATAAGTCATGAAGTACTGATGTTTTTGCCTGACCAAATAAAAAAAACACAGTGTTATGTCATGTTTCATTAAATCAGGCTCAGTCATTTTTGTTCATAAAATATTCCATAAAAACTGGAAAATGTGTTTTGTTTCAATGTTCAGAAAACATATCCCAAGAGGAAGCAGTTATGTTGTATTCCTGTGTTAATATTTGTCTCACAGCTAACTATAGGTCATAAAACTATATGTCAGCAAGTATTTCCTGTTTTAGGAAGTCATTAGTCTTCCCATTACGCACATTTTTCTCTGTTTTATCACATTTGTCTAAATTTTATTAACATTTGGCAGGAATCTGTTAGCATGTCCATCTTTTGGAAGTTATTTGACTGAGCCACCCAGTTGGAGTTTTTCTTCCAACAAAACTTGTTGTTTGTTAGATTTATACCATTTTCACATTCACATGCAGGCCATTTTACATGCTACTGTTCTTGATGATGATAATAATAATAATAATGATGGCACACTATATGGCTTTTTTCACATTTGTCTTTTTGTTTGCTTCTTGCAGTCTTGTTGCTGTGCCTTACCCGTGGACCATGATGGAGCAAAGGAGAGCCTTAACTATTCCATTTACAGTGGGCAAGGATAACCTGGTATATATATCACCTATGTTTTATGAAATACCCACTTTCCATTTCATCCATTCATTCTTGTGAGCTTGTGTGAGTGTGCCGTTTTAATTGTATTTCCTCTTGGCCCAATCCTGTGGTGCTGATGGCTTCATTGCTGCATTCATATCCTTTGCTGATCACAAGCATGTTGCAAATTGGGATTCTTTTACTTTCTCACATGTTTGCTCTTGTGAGTCTGATAATCAGTGAGCCCACTCTCTTCCTAGTAAGGGCTGGAGACCTGACTGATTGAGGATAGGGAGCTGTACTTAGTGGATTTCCTTGCATAATCAACGCTTAAAAGCTGTTACAAGGATTGCAACTAAGAGTTACTTTGACTCCCACTGAAGCTGCTGATTATGTCTTCGGTGAACTTATTCATTACTGGTGTTTGTAAAATATCAGAAAACTAGCAAAAATAACACCTCTTAAGATAATACCACAATGCTAAGTTCTCCTAACAAAAGTCTAGATTTAGTTTACAATGACAAAACGAGAAGCAACAGATGCTTCTTGAGAAACAGCTGAAAGTGGACAATGCAGGTCTTTTTGCCCGAGAGTCAACATTTTTAAATAGGTGTCAGCTGACTCGTCCAACAATTCATGGGTTAGGGAGCTTTGACTGCTACCCATCATTGTATTTGAACTGGAATTATAGACGCTAGCTTATACACACCGCTTTAACAGCAGCTGGTCTGACAGTTGCAACTGCATGCAACAAGCTTAGCATATTTCCTCAGTTATGTGAAAGAAATCTTGCGCTTTTGTTTATTGCATTGCAATGTGTTTTATACAAGCATGGTCACTAATAACCATATTAATTTTAGATGGAAAATCCACTCAGAATTCCCATGACATGTCTTTCATCAGAGTATGGAAAATTAGAAAGACAGGTACAGCGTTATCTTTATGCTAACATGGTTATTCTGGGTTATTCTTATAACTAACAGTGTCTGCCTCCTCTTTGAAAGGTTTCCTGGACTGCGTTTGCAGATTGCAAATTCAGAAATCGCAAGTCACCGCATAAAAACGGATCCACGAAGTTTGATCACAGCCATGCAGCTATGATCGCACTGGACATGGACAGGTAAGGAGGCAAGAAGTGTCGTGTGATGATTTGACTTTTTTTAAACTGCGGACTAAAATATCTGCTTATGATTTAAAACTCAGAAATATGTGCTGTTGTCTACACTGAAGCGTACTGCGCTTATGTTCTCTGTAAAAATAAATAAATAAATAAATACAATTTTTTGCAGTCTTAAGCATTCATAAAATGGAGCGCTCACAATTAATAATGAAGTTCTCCAAGGTCTCTCTTAATCTAACCTTCATTACTCCAGGACAACAAAAATAAAAAAAGTGTCACTGCAGTATTTCTTCAAAATTAGAGTAATATCATTTCTCTGCAGAGCACTTGCAGGAGCAACAGAAATGGGAGAAGAAGGGTAAAGAGTGCTGATAAATTAAATAGATGGAGGTGGTCATTGTTCTTTAAGACAGGTGCTGCACAGTTAGTATACGACCATTAAAATGCCTGTTTGGGCCACCCAGGCATATTTGCCTTTTCTGTATATATTTTATAAATTTTGCACAGTGGTCAGAGTTGCGGTCCATAAAGGAAACATTGCAAACACCATGACTCAAAGCCAAGCTTATCATTTCTGCACATGTGACTTATCTACACCAGTAGACCGCACCCTGTTGATCAGCTGGCACACATAAAGTCTCACGTGCAGAGATAGATGAGTTTTAAGCCTGAATACCTCAGTGGGCTTGATGGGAACAATATGCGGAGAAGACGTCGCTCGAGGAAGGTTGTGAATCAACGATTCTCTGCTTTCTCCCACAGGAGGAAGCCTCTTCTGATCCTGACAGATGTCCTGAAGACAAAATTCGGCATGGAGTATATGGAAAGGACAAAAAAGACTCATAGTGCGAAGAACAGAGGACAAACGCCAAGCAGGCAGAGGGAGAGCGGTCAGTGTAGAGAGGAAACACCGACCTACAGAGACACTAGATCCAGTCAGAGGGAAGCCAGGAATAACAGGAGCAAGAGTGTGACACCCAAGCGCAACCAGAGGACTGTCACTCCAACCTCCCAAAGGTGGGATAGCATTGTAAAAGAAGTAATGTGAAGGACTATTAGTTAGATGAAGCAGTCAGTCTCTCTCAAATATCCTTACGAGCAGTAAGTTCTGGTAAACACCAACCAACCCAATAAGACGAAGGGGGGGGAAAGTAAGTTAAAAAGTGTATGTCTTTCTGGCCACTTTCATTAATTTTACATCTTTAGAGGCTTGTAGAATCTGCAGTAGCTCATTTTAATTGGGGAAACATATTTACATACAACACACTTTACACTAAAGCCAGCATACTTTTTTTTTTTTTCAACCCAGACCTGAATGGAAACGCCCAATTTTTAACAGTTTGCTAAAAATAGGAATAAACTGTACAGCATAATCAGAACATCTTTTCCCGTCTTTTTCTCCACAGGTTGAGCCTTAGAAGAAGACCACAAAATGTTGACAACCAAGAGGACAAAGAAGAAAGCAAACATATCGAGGAGGTGATAATAGGCAAGGACAACACAGAAGATGACAGATTTGCTGAAGTTGTAGGTGGGTAAACATGAAGAGTTGATGCAGTTGTTGGTTTAATGCTGCTGGCGCTCTTTTGTGACTGACTTTGTTGTCATAAAGACAATGTTGGATTTAACTGTGAATAAATCGTGTACTCGAGACATTACCGTTCCATCCACCGCTGGTCTTATTTCCAGAGTAGCTTTAAAAAAAACAAAAGTTATATAGAGCAAAGGACATCACATGTTACTCTGTTTACTTATCAGTGTTTAAAGTTTAGTAATCGTTTTCCTGTTTTTGACCTGCTTTGAGGACAGGGAATTCCATTCATAGGTTGTCAGTGGTGTATGAGTGTATTTTAACTTTATATGTTTGTCATGCAGACTGTGGGTTGTCTTTGAGCTGGGAGCCTGCTGAGGATATAGTGTCCTGTGACATCAAAGACAGGTGGACTGATTCAGAAAAAGATGCACAGCCTAGTCTGGTGAGTACCACTTTTAAAACTCAAAATGAAACCAGGAACAATCAACCTTGATTAAACTTAACCAATCCCCGGAGAGCTCAGCAGGTGTGCACCAGACTATGCAAACATGGTAGCAAATTTTCTTGTCAGCCTTGTGCTTTGAATAAGGCTTTGAGTCCTTTCCACGCAAGCAGTCAGAGTCTGAAACACTGGAAAAACAGAAACTGAAAGCCAAAGTTGATTGGCATACTTCCTGGCCATAACAATTGAGATCATGTGTGGGGAGATTCTGGCTCTAAAGTTAGAGATAAAAAGTAGAGACGCGTCCTAACCAACTGCAGGCTCAGTGATCAAGAACTGGCAGGTGACAAGAGAAAAGGTGTTGGCAAACCAATAGAAAATGTGACTGTTGGACAGATTAGGTTGAGACAGAAGCTCACTTCCTCTTTGAATTTAAGAGATTCAGTGATATAAGGAACTTTTTCAGGAGATAAAGTGACGGGGCACATCTTACTTCCCAGTACATGTTAGCATGTTGTGACCTGAGCCTAAGAGTTACTGCATGAATTCCACCCCTGTATCGTTTTAGTGAATTTAGTGCTACAGTTAACTAGATTAGAACAAAAGCTGGGAAACGAGTAACCTGCCTACCAACACCTTTAAGACTCAGCAGTAGGGGTGCAACGATATTCGTATCGATATTG